TATAACTGTACCGATATCTTTGACTCATCGTAGGCACATCGTTCTAGACATTATAAAAGTAGAGAAATTAGACATTATAAAAGTAGAGAAATCATTAAGAAAGTACTGTACAAGAAACAAATGTCATTAAAAACATTTGTTCATCTAATTGAAGAGAAGACGCTGGTATATTTTTCCAATTGAAGTGACTCACGCTCTCAATGTATTAATAAAGATGATTTTCTTCAAATATAATACTTACTGTTGGCAGGGGCTTTGGATCTTTCACCTGTATTGCAGCTATAGGTATTAAATTTGGAGCTGATGCGAAAGGTGTATCAAGGGTTGGATGATGGTTTGTCAGAGCAAGGCTGACATTTTGTGCAGTACTCTCTACTGAAGCTATCTCAGGCCCAAATACATTCCTCGCCTCTCTGTCCATTTTTGGCAAGTAATCGTATTTGTACAAGAACTGCGTATAAATATAGGCTATGAAGTTATAAACACGTTCCATAAATTTCATGTCGTCGTCGTAGGGCAAAAACGAATAGGGAACATATGACGGGTTGGATGGTGTGCCTGTTGATTCTAGAACCCACTGTGGCGCAGGAAAACTAGCCACTGTTACAATGGGAGGATTGCCGAACCTTGGAAGTATACCGAACATGCATTCTACTCCGATTGGTTCCATTAAAACTAAATCAAATTTGAAATCTGTTGGATATTCCATTAACCGCTTAAAACTATCGCTTTCCAGTGTAAACAAACAACCTTTTCGAAAAAATGCGAACATTTCTTTTATCCAAAAGAACATAGTGGCTTCGTGCAAAACGTCATAATCCATATCTCCACCAATCGCTTCGTAAAGACCGTCGACAGGTAAATCCGTGAGATTTGCAACCCGGTTCTTTTGAGCTTCAGGGCTTATAACTGTTACATTGTGGCCTCTTGTGGCAAGGGCTGTAAGGAGGGGAGTGTTCCACAGTCGAATGCTGGGTGAAGCTAGTGTGTAAATGGCTAGTATGTTGGCAGAATTGCTGATGGAAACGTAGGAAAGAAAAAGGAAAGCTGCGAAAATCTTGTGCATGGTGATGATATTTTATTGCTTCCAGAGCCTGCAGACAGAACAGATCTTTCAGATAGTGTATTTTTTCGTGTTACATTACTTAAATATTATGACAATAATTATTTTAATAAAATTTGAAAAACAATTGTTAATAATTAATCCATTTATAATTAATTGGTTAAAGAATTGTTTTGAAAGAGATAATAATAATAATAATAATAAAAATAAAAATAATAATAATAAAAATAAAATAATAATATAAAAACTGACTGGTTCATGTACTATTAGATTACCTTAAGAAAATGAAACTTCTATAATATATCTCCGCAATGAATGATTGTTCAATTAAGACCACACTGCACTGTCACTGCACTTCACTATGACCCTTAAATCACTTCCTTCATTATTTTTCTGTACACTGCACGACACCTCACTTCTCATATATCACTTATGCTTCACTTTATAACCTACTATTCTTAGTGAAGTACCTCATTTTCTTAGTAATACCCTATATTAATTTCGTAAACTGTTGAATGCTTCGAGAAAAGGGTTCAAAGGTTTTTGAAGGCAAGCTAGTCCATTCTTTTAACGTTCGATTTGTGAAAGAACATTTCCCGACATCTGTTCTCTGCGGTCTTAAATTTATTTTGTGCCTGTGATCCCCTTACTGTTGTATGTAGGAATACTTAGCCGCCGATTAATTTCTTCCGAAGCTGGATGACAGCTATAAGCTTTATATAAAAGCAGAGCCTTGCTACTGGTCGCCTGTTTTCGAGTAAATCCCATTCTCCCATTTTCTTGTCCCTGAAAGTAAATTTATCTGCCCTACGCTGAATCCTTTCCAAATTTTAACACTGCATAATTTTGTGCGGATCGCAAAACAAATTGTTCCATATTCCATTATCGGACGAACAAGCGATAAATAAGCAATTTTCTTATCTCTTTTTTAAGGTGCGTATTACAAAGTGAAGAGATCTCCAGACTTTCGCTACAACAAAATATACGTGTCTTTTACAGCTTAATTTACTATCGAAATAGATTCCTAGGTACTTGCATGAGGAAACTCTCGGAATAATGTCATTATTTTAACGGTAATTTGTTTCTGTGAAATTATGATCCCTGCTAAATGTGATGGATTTGCTTTTGGAGCTATATATAAAGAGTTTGATACAATTATGGGAATTGTTGACTGTTAACAGAAATTTTGGTACTTGCGAAATGATAAAGATTGATTATATATGGCGAAGAAACGACACAACGGCAAATTTCCATGCGACCTCCCGTCGCAGAAGGAAAAATCTCATGACGTAAAACCGGCTACACTGATACACATGGCAGGAGACAAGAAGGCAGCTTAGAGTTTGCCCCCGGGTACAGTGCCCCGCTTGTGAGGGATTCATTGATAAACCATATGCCGCAAATCGACGTGTAGGTCGATGCCGGGTCTCACCATCAGCTGGCAAGAACACCGCCATCTCCCGCGATGAAAACATGTCGTACACTTAACGATTATTAAGTGTTTCTGGGCGTGCCAACGGCGAGGGTCATTAGTCCCGTAAGTGTAGTGTATGTGTTTATCGCCAGAGGTGGCGGTGTTCTTCCTTACAAGAGGGTGATATCCGGCACCGACCTACACTTCGGGAAGGTGAGGTTTTCTCCTATTCCGTGTCTCCCTCAACGGGGCACCGCACCGGTTGGGGCCACCTCTAAGGCAGGTGTGATATTTTGAATTTGATTTGAATTTGAGTTGAATAGAAGTTTCGAAAAAGAAATAAAACTCACGTTAGATCAAAAATATCTAGCATATACTTGACATTATAAAAGTTAATTTTTTTCAGAACAGCTCGACGTAAATTAGAAGATCCGTGTTCGAATTCCGGTCGAGGTGATCAATTCTTTGTACAAATGTAATTATGATTTGGATTTTTTACGACTGCAGAACATATTTTCTGTCCGCAATTGTGTCCAACAAGATGACGGGAAAGGTGACAATTACATAATGAAAATAAAATTAAAGCTTATTTTCGTAATATATGCTGCATCTTTATCCGACGTTATTTTGCTGCAAATATTATATCACACAGATTACTCTTATCGGCATTTTGAGAGCCTCAGTTTTATCAAATTACCAAACGACCTCAATCTCTGCTCTGACTATTGTGGAAACTTCTTTTTATTTAAGCATCAGAACTTCCGTTCCATTGCGTGCTGTTACTGGCCCATCCATTTTTTCATTGGTCTTAAAATATTTATTTTTCCTCTCGGCTTGTACTTCAGAATCTGTTTTGGTTTTGGGGTCTCCCCATTCTTTTTAGGTGGTCTCTCCAAGCTTTTCTACATTCGTCAATTTTTACATTTAGATTATAAATTCCTAATTCCGAATAAATTCCTAGATAGTTTCGAATTTTCTTCTTACCAGGCCCAGTCTCTCTTTGAGTTGCCAATGTAGACACGTAAACCTTCATTCCGACGATCTTCTTATTTTTGTACCCACAGCCCAGATTGCACATCCACAGAGCCCACAAGAGACTGCTAGAGTTTTGTAAAACTTCAGACAAGTGCTTTTCCAGATCTTGCTTTTCAACATTCTGCTAATAGTTCTACATATTCTATTACATTTCCTAATCTTTTTAATTAATCTTTTCACTACCATTTTCTCCCTTACACGACAGGTCATATTTAAAGAAAATGTTATTGTATTTTGCTAAACATTATAATAATTAATTAACTATGAAGTCTAAATATATATGTTTACACTATTCAATTCTTAGCGTATCTTCCCAGTTAAACGTTTTTAGAGCAAACAAATTTTGTTGTTTTTCTCACGATAATATAGCCTTATCAATTGAGTAATTAGAATTCATGACAAACGTTCGAAAGAACATTATCTGGAATGGTTTTCGCTCGTGTTCCTTTATGTATCAAGTGGGCTTCCCTCTAAGAATCTTTTGCGTCACCAGTCTGCGTTCATGCAGGGTTGCATAAAAAAGTAAGCACTAAGATTTTGTTGTGTACGTCACTGTGTTGCCGCGTTGAATAGTAGATGATAGCGCGCGTGTATTCCTACAAACCGCGGAAATTGTTATGTAGCTACGAAATTCCTGATATGAGAAGGCACGTAATGATTTTGTGGAATGGGGAACTCTGAACAGAATTTTGAGTGTGCTGTCCAATGTTGTATTGACGTAAATGTAGATATATTTTGGAGATCTCTCCGAAGTTTAGAAGACATATAGAAATAAAACCGTGAATTTCTTGACCTTCTTCCTCCTACACTCCTTTTTTATTTTATTATTCCTATTGTCATTATTTATTATTGTCAAATTATTATTATTAATATCACTATTTATTACATTATTATTATTATTGTGATAATATATAAGTACAGTAATTGTCACCAGGTTAAAGTAAATCGCAGATAAATTAAACCTTATAGTCTAATTTAATCTAATCTCCAGCTACATGCAAACGTACAAAAAAATGGGAAAGATCAGTACCTGAATTGATCCTCTATCTGCTGACTCTCTTAATACATGAAAATGTGCTGCATGTGTTGTCGATGTGCCGGTTCGCAGTTGCTGTGCGAATAATAACACTGTCATCGTGGACTCGCGTTTTATAGAGGCCGCGCACGAGCTCCACGACCTTTCGAAGGAACCTCCACGTGCCATGAGCGCCAATCAAAAGCGGGCCACTCAGCGCATGCGCCAGTTACTATCGGGTGTGCTACGCTGTGTTGTATATTATAGGCGCACGTTTTGTTGAACTCCGATTCACTTTACGCGCTCGTTCATAGCCATCAGCCAGTCACTCCGTAATAAGGTGCTCAACGCTGTGTTGTATATTATAGGCCACGTTTTGTTGAACTCATTCACTTTACGCGCTCTGTATCATACCATCAGCCAGTCACTCCGTAATAAGTGTGCTACGCTGTGTTGTATATTATAGGCGCACTTTGTTGAACTCCGATTCACTTTACGCGCTCTGTATCATAGCCATCAGCCAGTCACTCCGTAAAAGGTGCTACGCTGTGTTGTATATGTGAATCCAATAAGGCGCACGTTTTTGTTTGAAACTCTTGTTCACTTTACCGCTCTGTATCATAGCCATCAGCCAGTCACTCCGTAATAAGTGTGCAACGCTGTGTTGTATATTATAGGCGCACGTTTTGTTGAACTCCGATTCACTTTACGCGCTCTGTATCATAGCCCATCAGCCAGTCACTCCGTAATAAGTGTGCACGCTGTGTTGTATATTATAGGCGCACGTTTTGTTGAACTCCCGATTCACTTTACGCGCTCTGTATCATACCATCAGCCAGTCACTCCGTAATAGTGTGCAACGCTGTGTTGTATATTATAGGCGCAGTTTTGTTGAACTCCGATTCACTTTACGCGCTCTGTATCATAGCCATCAGCCAGTCACTCCGTAATAAGTGTGCAAATCGTTGGGTTGTATATTATAGGCGCACGTTTTGTTGAACTCCGATTCACTTTACGCGCTCGTGTCATAGCCATCAGCCAGTCACTCCGTAATAATGTTGCCTAGCTGTGTTGTATATTATAGGCGCACGTTTTGTTGAACTCCGATTCACTTTACGCGCTCTGTATCATAGCCTTCAACCAGTCACTCCGTAATAATTCAAAATATAACAAATTTGTTGAAAATTGCATCATATTTTGAATCATTGTGACATGATTTTCAACTTCAAAGTGAACTGCAAACTGAAACTGAATTGCAAACCAGCTGAACTTCAAACAAAAAGAACATCTGAACTTATAAAAAACAAATAATATGTGGGATTCTGAAGTTCCCCTCTGTAATGCTAGGTTTACTGATTGATGTTTGAGGGTACATCAACTGCTTTGTAATTAATCCCGTTCGAGTAGTGTTTGTTTTATCCCGATATGTGGTGGTGTTCCTCCTCTGGATACTGAGATCCGGAGTTGTCGACTAGCTAGGCATTTCCCCTTCGCGGTATCTCCCGCTAGTGGGCCATCGCACCGGTCGAGACAAGCTCTCAGTATTTACTAGGCTGTCCGGGTGACGCCGCGGTCCATGGCGAAGGTGCCGACGTTTCGGTCGCCATTCTGCGACCTTCCTCGGGGCGTAATGCGTGGAAGGTCCGGCGGACTCCGGCCGCGGAAGCCTACGCTCTCAAGCTCTCAGTTTCCAATGTGCGTGGTGGTGGTGTGCATGTGTGTGTGTGTGTGTGTGTGTAGGCAATGAGGAGGGCAGGACAAGGAAGAGGAAGGAAAGATCTCGTGCGGTCCGTGGCCCATTTGTTAGGGAACTGCTCCGGCATTCGCCTGGTGTTGATCGGAGAAACCACGGTAAACTACCGATCACAGCAGCCGGCCCTTTTTCTCCCAGAGAGCGGCTGAATCTTCCCTAGCTATCTAACTTGTGTTAATAATCCTGCTATCATCGGGACTCTTAACTCTAGGACCTCCCGATCAGAGGCACTGACATCAGTTGATGTTTTGAGCCACTTCAGCTGGAAAATGACAAGTTAAAAAGATACATTTTTTGAAGAGAGTTATTACTTCACTGAAATCGCACTATTGTAGATAATGACTAGCCAAAGTGATTGAATTAATCACATAGGCTTCCTGGTTTTCTATTTATTCATAATGAATAGTGATTATACATAATCTCTAATTAATTACTAATACTGAAACAGAGACATGCTGTAACATATGAGAAAAATTATACTGATGATTGATGCAGTAGGTAAGGCATTTCATTAAAGTGATTATTTCTTTGTGAAAATTACGATAGAGTAGAGAGCTGGTTACTTATTCCGGAAGTATGGTGATAAAGAAACTCTGTAACGCCTATCCATCTCGTACCTACATGGCGGAGTGTATTTCTTTACTGTCAGTAAAGGAAGATGCTCCAGAAGCAGCGAAGTCAGGAAACTGTTTCATAATGTTAGCGACTCCCGCCGTGATAACGGAGTTGAGATGTGGTTCACTAGTCAGTGTCTAGGCTGCCACTAAAATCTCTCTCAATGACACAGCTTATAACGAACGATATTCTTTAGTTTCATTATAAAACATGCCAGTTAACCTGCCGTATCAGTATGACTTGTCCATTCCCTCTGTACTGCAAGTTGGGGTTAGTGACGTACGTATGTAGACCAGACCATTTTTGAAATAGAAATCTTATAAACATTGTACTGAAACATAAATTACACGCACATTTTTATATATAAAGATCTAGCAGTCCCTAAAAGGACTAATTGAATTTCCCGGGTACGTCAACTGCTATTGTCATTAATCCAGTTAGTGCATTGATTGTTTAATCGCGGGAGGAGGTAGATCCTCTACCCGCTACGTAATTAGATCCAGTACCGACTTACACACCGGTTTGTTTGGCATTTCCCCCTCCAGCTATCTCCCACAATCGGGGCACCATCCTAATCACGTCAAGCTCTACGCTCCCGACTAGTT